GGGGGGAATTGGCGGGAGAGATGAACCATGAGAGACTATGGACCTGAGAAACAAACAGGGTTTTAGAGGGGAGGGTGGAGGGGGGATTGATTAGCCCGGTGATGGGTATTAAGGAGGGCACGTACTGCATGGAGCACTGGGTGTTATACGAAAACAGTGGATCGTGGATCACTACATCAAAAACTAATGATGTATTGTATGGTGACTAACATAACATAATAAAATTAAAAAAAAAAAAAGAGTGGGTCACTCAACCGACTGAGTTACCCAGGCGCCCCTGTATTTTTAAAAAATATATATTATTTATTTGAGAGAAAGAGAGAGCAAGAGCAGGGGGAGGAACTGAGGGAGGAGAGAGAGAATCCCAAGCAGACTCCCCACTGAGCTTGGAGCCCAACTTAGGGCTCGATCCCAGGACCCCAAGACCATGACCTGAGCCGGGGAAATCAAGAGTCAGAGCTCAACTGACTGAACCACCCAGGTGCCTCTGTTTTTGTAATTTTTTGGGTAAATACCCAGTAGTTTGATTATGGGATCATAGGGTAGTTCTATTTTTAACTTTCTGAGGAACCTCCATACTGTTTTCCACAATGGCTGCACCAGTTTGCATTCCCACCAACAGCACAAGAGGGGAACATTTAGCATTTATATATTTAGAAATGTTTTTTAAAGTGTCTTTTAAATTATAAGAGCTATGTTTTCTTGAAAAACTTCAAATAATACAAAAAAAAATACAAAAACAAAAACAGGGAAAATTCCCTTAGTTTTCCTCACTGTCATCCATTCTCCAGAGAAAACCACTGTGACAGTTGAGTGTGTCCCTCAGCTATGGTCTGTGCATAAACAGATGTTTATACGTCGTTTTATTTTATTTATTTATTTATTTATTTATTGAGAGGGTGAGAGAGCATGAGGGGCTGGTAGAGAGAGAAGGAGAGAGAGAGAATCTCCAGCAGGCTCCCCGCTGAGTGTGGAGCCTGAGGTGGGGCTTCATCTCACGACCCTGAGATCATGACCTGAACTGAAATCAAGAGTTGGGCACTCAACCAACTGAGCCACCCAGGTGCCCCTATATGTCATTTTAGACACATGGGGTTGTACTACACATGCATTTTTTGCAACCTCCCTTTCTTAGCTAATAGTAGAAGAATGAAAGCTTTTCATATCAACACATGTAGATCTACCTCATTCTTCTAAACGGGTGCATTTTCTATGGGTGTTCCATAATTTAATTTTCCTGTTAATGGACATTTAAGTGGGCTGTAGTAGATACAATATATCTGTATCATTGAGGACTTGCTCAGTACATGTTACATTTTCAAATGGAAGATGAGGGATGCTGGGGAAGGAAAACCCTTTGTAATGATAGTTATAACTGTGACTCACAGCATATAGCATATAGATATATGCATGCACGTGTGTGTCCCTGGCTGTGTAGACACAGTGCTGTCCCTTAACCCACATGACTGAGGGTGACAAGAAAACAGTCAAGTCCAGGCTGGCCATCTTGGTCTGCTGAAAGAGAGCTGCACCTGGCTTGGAGGCCTTCCTGCCTTGCAGCTAAGAAAAGTGTCAGCCATGGGGGAGGCAGTCCCTTTGTACAGAGCATGACAGAGGGTGTGTGTGTGTGGGGGGGATGCCAAGACATGTGAAACCTACCAAGGAGGTTTTGTGACCCCAATGATATTTTTTACAGAATGTGGTGGATTCTCAAGGCAACCACAATGACATCCGCCTCGCAGCAGGTGGGAGAGCAGATGCAATTTGTGAAAATTCTGGGGATGCTTGCTTGCAGTAGGGCCAGGTGTGCAGAGGGCTGGGTGGGGCCTGCTCCTCACTGCCAGGTGAGCTCCCGTGCCGCATGCTGCGGCACTCACGTGGGAGGGCATGAAGGCATGGGAACTCCTGCATTCTGTCAAGCAAGGCCCTTATTTTTAAAAACATCCAGAGAGAGATAAGGTAAGAGAGTAACCAAATTGGCACAGTTTCTGTGCCAAATTTAAGCAAGTCTTTGTTTCTCTTGAGGTGTTTGTTCTTAAAACATGGAAATAAAGTAATCTTAATTTACATGAATTGAAGGCATT